GGTTCTGGGAAGCGGAATTTCAAACCCGAAATGAACTGGATTTTGCCAGTCTTAGATTTATATTTACTTGAGGTGGCAGCTAAATCGTGTCAAAAACGCTCTCAAAAACTGCAGAAAAAAAAACCTTGACATTTTTCTTCTTCGTTTCGTGGTTTTGTCCAGTGTTGAATCGACTGGTGACCAGCATTCTGACACCCTCAACGCTATTTCGTTTACTATGGCAATTCCTCGCTCAGTGGCTTTCCTGAGAGAAGTAATTTGATTTATAAGTCATTTAATTTCAGGAATGGGTGGTAGACCAGTACCGTGCGGCCAAATGGGCACCGGTGGTTGTCCTTTCAAGGGCATGGCCGGTGCAAATGCAAATATGCCGGCGAATTTTGCTTCTGGACCTGGTGTTTCAAGCCAGAAACCGGGAGCAGCATCCGGCTTTAGTATGTGTCCGTTCAAAGGTATGGGTGGCGGAAGCCCTTTGTGTCCGTTTGCTGCCATGATGGGTCAAAATCCAACACCGGTAGCCAGCAGTAGCGGAAACAATGCGCCGCAAGAGTCGGCACCACAACCAGCATTTCCTGGTATGCTTGAAGCTTCTTTAACTCTCACAGGCCCAGAAAAGTCCTGGTATTTTCGAAGATTTTTATTAGATTACACTTGCTTTAAAAAAAGTATCCCCTTCCGTGAGCGTGCAGTGAGCCGCGTGAAAGACTATGATTTTTACTTGGGCAAACTGTAATTTATAGTCTGGTTTAACGTCTATGCAGATGGCAAACTTTTTAATTGTTCTGGCTAATGCCGCATTGTTTGATAGCAACTTGCTAACGACTTGTAGACAATCATAAAAATATTTTCACTTTTTGAACGAGGAAAAGTCCTTTAGTTCTTTTGTTCATGATTTTTTATTGATTGATTCAATTCCACAAAAGGTAGATTTATCAGTTATCATTAGCAGGCTGGTAGAAAAATGACTTGCTTTGATTTTCTGGTTCAAAAATCTTCCCTAGAGACTTATTCATTCGGGGTCTGAAATGTAGTCACCGCTGAGTATCTAAAATGCATAAGGATGTGGAACTATATACATCTGTTATACCGAATAGTTATAAACTATTGTAATTGTAAGAAATCCATTACTAATAACAAATAGATAGAAAGTCAGATTTATAAAATGAACGATCTAAGAATTAATCAAAATTAAGCAAACTTGAAAAAGAATAATACAAAACCAGTATATCGAATTTTACATAGCAGCTTGCGCTAAAATGAGCATCTTATGCTTTTCAGGACCTGAATCCGCGAAAAATGAAAACTTGCCATCTGTTGAAAGAAAAACTCTCGAAAAGGAGTAAAATCTTCCGCTTGACGTGGCTGATTGAATTATGCATGGTTTTTATTTTTTTTTATTCCACACCATTCCATAAACCGGAACCGTATTCCCTCAGGATCATGATAAAACAGGATTTGCGCAAATTGGAAGCTGAGTCTTGATTGTATGTTAGGCCACGTATCAGGGCCCAAATTTCTGATTCAAGCAAAACTTGATATGTGTATCTAGTCACACTCTGAATTCAGTTTTAATGCCAAGGGTACCAACATCACTTGTCGTGGAAAACGTGCGAAAAGCTGGCAAAGACAAAAAACGTCACGAAAGTAGCGTACACTGCTCATGAGAAGGCAGACCAAAAAAAGTTCCAGGCGCTGTCTTAAAGGGAGATACACAGTAGAAGTGCTGCCACAGCGGAAGTGATCTTGACTTGCAAGGACTCATAGTGCAGCGGTCTAGCACATTACGCTCGGATGTAAAGACGAGTGGTTCGATCCCCTCCTGACATCTGCAAAAGAGATCTTCGTTTACGCCACGCTGGCATCAGTATCTCACGGCAGATATATCACTGGGATGCTCAAAAACTGCGGAACAGCTGTGGCAGCCATTTGATCCTAGCTTGCACATTCCTATTTAATACTCAACCATTACCGCCACAATTTTAAAAGCCTAACAAAACACACTATTCTGGAACGGTCAAAAAAACTTAATAGTTTAATGATGCAGGCAGGCTGGATAAACAGCAACTCATCGGCGGATACTCTATTTTAGTGCTCGAGTCAGCTGCTGTTTCATTGCCATGATTTTTCTTGCTAATGACACAGCTGGCAATCTTTAGTGTTCGAAAAAAAACATGCATTTGCGAATAATTTCTGAAGAACATGAGAAATTTACAGTTTTTCATCCGGAAGAAGCTCATAATCGCGGAATGTGAATCGACCCAATGAATGTCGCCATTTCCTTCTCTTCAACTTTTTTATTTGTATGACCAAATAAAATCTTGTTTCATGAAAGAATTTACTTAAAGGTCATAATGAATTGTGTTCGGCCTACACATCCGTGGAGTAAAGCTGTCCTGCTGAAAACTTACTTAACAACTTATTCTCTTTCAATACTACTACAGTTACTATTGCGATTATTATCGTTTCTGTCCAGTATATTTGTTCTTTAATTTTGCCTTTTTTCATGTATGGCATTCGTTAAGTTTCTATTAAATTCCATTGAAATCATCTATTGCCACTAATTTCAAGAAAAAAGCGGAGGAAACTGTTGGAAAAAAATTAGAGAGCACGTTTCATTAATTATCCCGGGAACCCTCAAAAGAAGCTAAAAAAAAGACTGTACGAATCCCCACACAAAAGCGAACACATGCGCTCGTATTATTTATTCATGCATACGCAGAGTTCTGCACATGCTCCCACGCTTGTATGCATACGTAACAAACACACACACACACACATGCGGGTGCACAAAACATACATTCATGTTTATTCCCGGATATACAGGAATGATCTTGCTTTTAATGGATTTCCGCATTGCTAACAAAAAAAGCGGTATAAAAATGGACAGCTGGCTAAAAATTGCCAAAAATTTGCCGAGCGATTGGTTTTTGCGGGATTGAGAAAGCCATCTGCAGTCTGCCATCAGCCTCCCCTTTA